GAGGGTGAAGCTTAGGAACCTGCTGCTGCTGAAAGATCTAGTAGGGAGGGTGAAAACAAACTAACTGAGATAATTTTTATCTGATTAAACGTGTCTCCTTAGTTTTAATTGCCTTAGGGAAAGGGATCATGTTTTGGCACAGGTAGACATCAGCTAGCTAAATGGAAGGATTAGATTTAGTTAGTATCCAGTGTGAAAACTGAACAGTGTTTTGGAAAAGTAGATATGTGAGATGATTGGAAGATAAATATTCACTGATTTGCTGAATTGGTTTTGAGGAGAAGTGTAGCATATTGCAGTGTAATTCAGGCTCAAAGGACTAGAAAGACATGAAGACTAGGTATATGGGGAAACTTTTTTACATAACAAAGCATAGTAAAATGTGGAGTGGAACTATGTGAAAGTGCCACTACCTAGGAGTTTTTGATTAAGGCTGAATAAACCAGCAAACTTGCCAACAGACACTGAAAGAAATGGTGGCAATAACAGCATCTAGAGCTCTAAAACTGATGCAAAGCAGTCTCTCTTTGTGATTCCTGGGGGAGCAAAAATTATCGCTCAATTCTCAAGTTTTGAGTAGGAGGACCTGCATGAGCATGTCTTTTCTGTGGGCTCTTCTGAATTACTTGCAGTCTCTCTGGCTAAATTTGATTAATTATGGTGAGGTGGAAGTCACTTACACGTCTGGTCTCCTTTCAGGTATTTAAAAATAACTACCTTCTTCCCAGGTTGTGCAATATAATTTTATCGGTTTGCCATTTCCAGCTTTGTGAATGAAACCACAAGTCAGTGAGGAGTTTTGAATTGCATTCTGACCATGGAGCATGTCTGCACTCAGGTCCATTTGGTTCACAGTGGGTGAATGCCTTCATGCTTTGGGCTCAAAAGACCTCCTTCCTTAGGGGGCAGCTGTTGTGGTGCCAGGGATGGATTTAAAATACTAGGGGAAAGAGACCTTTAATATAGAAGCTGTATCTTATGAGAAATGTGTGGACATAATCAAAACACCTTCTGATGCCAGGTGTAGGCAGCTGTGTTTTTTGTCTGTTGAAACTTTTATGATGGTATGTGGCGTAATTTTTAGACAGGATTTTCAATGGGCAAGGCTGTCTCATAGAATCATTTAGGTTGGAAAGGATCTTTAAGATCATCCAGTCCAACTGTTAACCGAACACTGCCAAGCTCACCACTAAACCGTGTCCTTAAGCACCGCATCTACACGTCTTTTAAACACCTTCAGGGACAGTGACTCCACTGCTTCTTTGGGCAGCTTGTCCCAGTGCCCAACAACCCTTCTGGTGAATAAATTTTTCCTAATATCCAATCTAAATCTCCCCTGGCACAACATAAGGGCATTTCTTCTTTTCCTGTCACTTGTTACCTGGGAAAGGAAACTGACCCCCACCTCAGTACAACCTCCTTTTGGGTAGCTGTAGAAAGCAATAAGCTCTCTCCTCAGTCTCCTTCAGGCTAAACAAGCCCTGTTCCTTCAGATGCTCCTCTTAAGGCTTGTTGCTTAAACTTTTCATCAGCTTTGTTGCCCTTCTTTGGACAGGTTCCAGCACCTCATTGTCTTTCGTTTAGTGAGATGAAACAAGAATGAAACAAGTACACCTGAATTGCTTGGATTGAATCATATAGTATAGTTTTTGGGTGTCTGTCAGGTTTAGACAAGTGTTCTTTGTCTCAATAGCATTGAAATAAATGATTTGAGGATGTATACTAATTTATTTTTTTAAATTGCCAGATAAATGTCCTTGTATTGATGAATATGTCATAAACACCCAGGTTCTTATTTGCGTCAGGTTGGCAGCTGGAGAAGGGGGTGAGAGGATTTGCTCTAATGAGAAACAGTCAGTGCTGATGGGGGCCCAGATGTTACTGTTTTAAGAAAACAAGGTGAATTGTAGTAATTCAGAATGAAGTATGTTTTTACAGTTATTTCTTTAATTAGGATCTAATTTTTCACAGTACCAACTTTGCAAACATCTCTTCGGCTGTTCTTTTGCTAACTCTGAACAATACCAAAAACACTATGGAAAAAGCTGATCTGCTCAGTATGAAATCTTTCCTTGTACACTACACTTTCAGATTCTGTCTGATCAATACTATTTGCAAGATGTATTGGAACGATCTGATCAGGCTCTGGCTGTGGCAAAAGACTTGCTTGGAGATGCTCCTCGCACACGAACAGGTAGACCATTTATATGTGGTAGCACATTCAACATTGTCTCCTTTGTTTTCATAAATGTTCTTGCTTTGCAAAGTGTTATTTTTAACTGCTTTCATCTCATCATCTAACATAGTATATTTAGTCCTGTTGGGTGAAACGCAGATGAGGATTACAGCTCCTGTGGCAGGGGAGATCAAGCTGTGGCAGATTATTCTACTGTATTGGTCCATGGTGGAATTTTGGATTGCTTACTGTGAAACATCTAATGCTCACCATTTCTACAGCCTAGCTACCAGCCTATATAGAGCACTGGTTTGAGCCACTGTAGTAGTTCTGAACCTCATGGCTACATGTATTGGCTGCTTGCTCTTGAATATTGTTGAAAATTGATCAGCAATTGTGAACAAAGCTTCTTCTTTTCTTATCCTGGTCTGTGGGTTCCTACGCTGCTGCAAAGCAGGATTGTTTGCATGCAAAATCTTGGATTCTTTTCTGTGTAGGCTGCCATTCTCTCTTGTTTATAATCACTGTTTCTTTCATCCTTAGTGCTTCCCCAAACATGTTAAGGTACCTCTGTGGTTGACCTTTGGCAGTTGCTGAAAGCAACATAGACCCCTGTCACCCTGTTTGTGCAAAGTATGGGAAGTTGCTTTTTCAGTACAAAGGCCTGCAACATACTAAAGAACGAGTCCTCTGTTCTCCCCTGTTTTGTCCAATTCCTCTAGGTTTCCCTAATGTGACAATGGCTCCTCACTGTGACTTAGAATCATCTCAAGGACCCATTGTACAAAAATGTGATCTTCACACTCAGCTTTCCATCCTTAGTGAATCTGTCATGGATTCCCAGGTAATGTAGATTCGCTTCCATGCATGTCCTGTGGCTTTTTTATTTGTACAAAACAAGAATATTCAAAGGTAGAGTTTCCAAGCAGACCTAAACCTGTATTTTGTGTATTGTATAACATGTTGATAATGTATGTAGAGAATTATATTAAATTGAGATTAGTTTGTTTTGTGAGTCTCTGGGAATCATGATTCTTTAATTTCTTAATCTTGGAATATGAGAAACACCAAAGTCTTACGTCTCAGATGCGCTCTTATGTTAGCATGTGCTCCCTTTTAAGTTCTAGAATTATTAGCAAGAGAAGGAAGTAATAGCAGACTAAGAAAACATATTCTTGTGTCACTTAACTAATCGCTAGGTATTGAAATACGTCTCTAATTTTCATATTGTGTGTGCATACTGAGGACATGGCCAGTTGGCCTCAAATTTATTTCTCATAACACACAAGTGTACCCCAGTGAACTCCACAGCCTTAATTAGCCCTACAAGTTTAAATTTGAATAGTTTATTTTACAACTATTTATTTGTTAAAAAAGTTTTTAAATTGTTTTCATTTGTTTAAAATGTCATTTAGATTGCCTTTGTATGCTGTTTGCTTTCCATAACATGACTTGTACGAGGAATGCTCTCTGTGATTTGAGAACATACAATATGACAGTCCCAGAAAACAGCTCACTGATTAAGACCAAAAGGACTGTGGGAATGAAAATGATGCTGTCATATTCTTATGATTCTCTAATCCTGTTTCCTACTAACTTGCACAAATATCTGCAATTTGAATTGCAGCGCTTCCCTATCATGTCTGGTGGGTTATGTGGTTTGGTTTTTTTTTTCAATATGAAGACTTATCTGTGGTATCTTTGTAAGCTCTATCCCTGGGTGCGAGTTGCAGGGTAGGCTTACATTTTCAAAAGAAACACATAATCATAGTTGTCTGCTGAGATTCTGTGAGGTTTTCTTTCCCTTATGTGCCTACAAAGGTGATAGTTAAATGCTATCTGGTGAACCCTACTCAGAAGTGCAGAACTGTGGTAGTAGTTTGAAGAACCCTAATTCCAAATTTGATTGCTTAAGTTTTGCTTTGAATGTGGGACATAGACTTTTATTTTCCTCTGGTTACATTTTACATAGAGAATGTAAATGTAGTTTTGCAGAACTCATTATAAGAAGGTTTGACTTGTAATGTTGAATAGCTGAAATTTTAGAAATTCGTTGAGGTTGCTTTTTCTATCTTCTGCTTGGTATATGTGTATTTGCATGTAAACAGTTGATTTAATTGCTGGACCAGTGTTAAACTCTGACACTTTTGTACAGTCTTTAAAGCTTTTCTTATCCTACAGTGTGTGTGAAAATGAAATATTGGATATTGAATTAACAGTTTGTGTTATTTTCAGAGACAATTGTCAGTATCAGTATTTCTTAGGTACTAGTGTCTCCCAAACCCCTTCCACAGAGGTATGTGGGGGCTTGCTTGCTTTCTGGCTTGGGTTTATTTTTGTGTTGTTTTGGTTTTTTTAAATCAGTTTCAGAAAATTGATCTTGTAACTTCTTCCTAAAGAATAATTGAAACTGCTCTGAAGTACCTTTTCTTTTTTGTCTCCTTAAAAGGCCCTTAATGAAGTGGTGGAGGAAGCATTATCAGCCTCTCCATCAGCAGATGGACATCATGACTCTCTGAATCTGAAATCTGACATCAGTTCTGACAGGTCAGTACAAATCTATCCATTCTGGTTTCCAGCTTCCTAACACTGGAAATAGATGGAGTTAAAAGGATGTTACATGGGTCTAGTTAAGTTACTTTTTCTACTTCTGCCCCTCCTCCTTTCCTGGCCTCAGTATTCTAGGGTAATTGTTTGTTGTAAGGTACAGGCTGGGAATGAATGTGACCAGGGAACTCACCTGAGCAGTTACAGATACGTTAAAGAGCTGTTTCTAGACTGTACTGATAATCTAGAGCCATGCTTTTATCATGTCACAATTAATTATTACACTTGTTTTCAAAGTAGGCTGCTTCGGTTATTGCAGGAAGACAATTCCTTGGTCAATTCTCCGTTGTGGGCTGAAAAGGAGATGAGAAAAACTACTCTATCACAGGAATCAGATATGACTTTGACTCCAACAGCTGTTTCACCGTCTTTGGATCAGTCAGGTTAGACTTGCCAAATCACAGCCTCTAAAGGGTTGTTAGGCTCTCCACATGATCCTGTCTGGATTCCTCTTCTGGGTGGGGGTGAGAGACAAGGAGGTGCTAATTTGGCTCAGATGAATTTCCAGACTGAAGAGCCAGCTCTTCTAATAAAATTACTTTATAAAATATACTTTTAAGAGCATAGCTGACATATTTCATTTGTATATTTTTTGTTTTGTGTTTAAATCAGCTCTCAATGCTACCAGTGTAGTCAAGAGAATCTATTCAAGACTTCAGAATGAAGATGAGGAAGAGAATGTAGACTCCACTTACACTGTGAGAGACGTGCTGAACCCAAACGCAAGGAAACAAAAGCAAATTGCAGGAAAAAGTTTAGTACTTTTAAAAATAACATACCTTCATTTGATCAAGGTCCTTAATATCATAGGAAAATGTAGGTTCAAAGGGATCTTTGGAAGTCATGGCAGGACCAACTCCAGAGTGTGATTAGGGAGGACCTTATCCAGCTGAGTCTTGAGCACCTCTAATGTATTCCTCTGTATTCTGCATGTCCATTAGCAAAGTAAAGTCTGTGGGAATCTTGGAACCATAAATATGGCTACCCATATTTACTGGGTACCCCTTGATGCTACCCCATTGCCTTCCTAGCTGTGAAGTTCTCTCTGGTGCCAGGCCTTTCTGTTTCTGATGCAGCTTTCTATTCTGTGCTGCACAGACTTAGAATGCATTACAGTCCTCATATTCTACCTTCATTTGTGTGGGAAATGACATGAGAAACAAACTGTAACATGGAAGGATTGTTGTAAACGAGATTGTTGTTTGCTAAATATGAGACATGTAAAGCAGCTGGTATTTTTTCACTGGCAGACTATTTCCATGCCTTTAACAGAGAAAGAGGAAGGTATAAATGGATATCTAAGATAACATCAAAATACCCTAATCTAAGATATCTTAATACCTTCTACTAGAAGGTGTCCCTGCCCATGGCAGGAGGATTGGAACTAGATGATCTTTTAAAGTCCCTTCCAATTTAAATCATTCTGTGATTTTGTGGTTCTGTAAAAACACCAGTCATACTTGAGAAGTAATAATGTGGTGGCAGGAAATGTGTTTTTTGATTATCTGAACATAACTGGAATGGTTGAGGATGTTCTTTGATGGTCCATTTCAGCTCAGGGCAAGAGAGGGCCTTTCCTTTGGTTTATTTCAATAAACAATGTAACATCACTGGTACTGCAATGCTTTCTGCAGAAGTTGAAATTCCAGTGACACTTTCTTCCCTTCTCTGCTCTCAGTGAAAAGAAAACAAACTTCACAGAGCTCCACAAGACAGGGGAAAGATGATTCTCCAACTAATTCAATCTCCACTGACCTTCAGAAGGACAGCAAATCCAGCCTAGATGTTCTCAACAGCATGATACATGAGGTGGAGCATGAATTAGAGGAATATGAGCGATGTACAGGCCGTGAGGTTCAAAAAACTGAAAGAAGTGAAGGCCTCACTGGGTTTACCTTGTCGCTGGTGAATGCTCTCTGTCGCTTAATGCGCTACCTGAAAGAGGTGAGAAGACTTTGAATTGCTTCTGTAGAGTGAATGGAAAATGGTATAAAGTTACTTTACAAATGTGAACTTTGGTCTTTCCTGGCTCCCTATGCGTTTCAAGTCTGATTATCGTTGCTTATTATTTGAACTGCATGCAATCAGGAGTTAGAACTTCTACTTTGCTGGAAACAGGTATCCCCAGTAAAAACAAAGGAGTTCAGTGCAATGAAAGTCTCTCAGTGACTGTTAGTAGAAAATGCCTAATGAAATAGTTTTAAATTTGTTACTAAAATACGTTCAGGGTTGCAGCAGGATATTAACTACAGCCTTGTTTACAGATTAATTTTCTTCCTTTTCCGCCCAAAAGTGATGCTATTGTCATTAGAGCAGTAGATCCAAATCCCCAGTTTTCTTTGTGGAATTCCTTAGCTCTTTTTCTATACCATAGCAATAACTTCACCTTAAGCAAGAATGACCTGCAGGGCTCACTGTAACAGTGCACATCCGGGTGTCAGTGGAATTCCATGAAGAAGGCTACGTGTAAGACATGTACAACTTCTTTTTTTTTTCCTTTTGTTTTTTTAATAATGTGTGTTTTAATCTCTAACGTGGAGTTACTCAAGATGCAGCAGTGGCTCACAGATTCCTTGGGCCTATGAAACTAGATTATGGCAGTCCTGTCCTCTTAATAGATGCAGCAGAGTATGTTATCTAAATCCCAGTGCTCTATTTAACAGCAAAGGCAATAGATTGCTAATGAATGTCGTCTTCTGATTCCTTTTCAGAGTGTATAATTATTGGGGAAAAAACCCAACACCTTATTTCAAAATGTGACTTTTTGTTTTGTTTTTTTTTTCTTTCTGGATGTAGAACAGCTTACTCCTTATATTGTCCTGTACTTAATCTGTATGGAATAATTTGCTTTTATTATGACCTGTCTTGGAAGCAAACAGTAAACAGTTCCAAGAGTGAAAAACCACTACCATCAGAAGATGGACTTTGTCAGAGAAGGTCTTACATTTTAAAAGAAGCTGAGAATGCTTGTTCTCTGTTGAAGTTGTAATACCAAAGCAGGGTATTAAATGTGCAGTTATTGGTAAGGATTTTCTGGACTCCAGTAGAAGGTTTTCCCTTGATTAGGAAAACATCAATTTAATAGCATCAAAATAATGTTTTAATTGCAATTATAACTTTATTCAGATTGTCTCCAGTTTGTGTTCCACAGAAATGAGTTATTCTTCACCCTCAGGGTCCTCCAAAACTGTTCCAGATTTTCTTTGGTATTTTTTCTTTCTTAGTTGCTACTTTGTATGAATGTAACAGCCACTGTATCTTGAGAGCTTTTGTACTGTTCAGAAAGAAGGCCAAGGAGTCTAGGTGTTCAAGGAGACTACTTTTTAAAAGAAGTATGCTGACTTGTGTTCCCAGTTTTTACTGAGCACCTGTATGATGGTGTTTCTACTTTAATAGATGTGTTACAGTTTCTTCCTTCTAGGAGATGATTGTTACTTTCAGAATTATGTACAACTTTACCTAAATTCATGCAGAGAAATATAAGTTGCTTGAGCTACAAAGGTGGTTATTTGTTTTCAGAGTTGCTCAAGGTAGACAGTTTGCATCAATAATCTTCACTGACTTTGCTGCCTTTCATGAAACTTCAATTACAGCAGAATTTCAAAATTTGCTATGAAGAATCACAGCTTGTCTGAATATTTCCAAAAACCTGGTCCCTGTGCACCATCTTTTTTGCCTAGCCAGGAGAGTTAGCAAATTTCCAATGTCTGAATTTTATCTGTGAATGCATTTCAAGAAAATGATTTTGCAGCAGATATTATAAAACCCTATGATTTCAGATAAACAAGCAGTCTTCAGGAGGTTTAAGCTTCTAGAAATATTTTCTTCCTCTTCTGGGGAGATAAATTTTTTTTTCCAGCTTTGCTGCAGAAAAGCTGAATGCAGAACTATGATAAAGGATGTTGCTTCATTTATTCTCAAAACTGTATCTAAAGAGTAGGAAGAGAACTTTTTAATTACTGCATCTTTTATGAAAGTTGTATTAATACATGGTTAAAGAATCAATTGCTACAAGAAGATCATTAATATAGAAGAGGCTAGACAGAAGGGGGGAAAAAAAACTTCTGAAATGTTTGACTAGCTATACAAAATTCTTAAAAGGATGTGTATTAACCTGACTTGGTTCCCAAATTAATTTCAATATTGTCTGCCAAATGTGAGAATTAATTTTTTTCCTTACCCTACTAAGAATGCTAGTTCTTTGCCAGACTAACAGGGCAAAAAGTTAGGGGATATGCATTCTACACTAGTCTGTGTTCACATTTTTTTTCCATTTTCTATGTCAGCCTGCTTCACTTGCATCAATACAGAAAAGGTGTTCTCTCTAGGTGGGAGAGAACCACAAGTAGATAGACTGAGGAATATCTGTCTTTGTGTCTAGTGGCAGTACCTGTAGTTTATTCTCAACATTGTGTATTTATTCATTCACTTTATGTGGCTGCAGGGCTGTTCTGTCTTAACACTTCTTCCTTGGTTGTTTTTCACTTCCAGTTTCAATGCTAGCAGATAATAATCTACAATATATTATGGGCAGTTCATGCTGTAATTTTATCTGGGCAGCAGAAGTGGGTGCCCCAATTCCCTTTCAGGATCTCTAGTGTTTTGGAGATGGGATATATTTCTCTTCTCCAGGGATTGCTTTGAGTAAATGTGGGGAACTGTCTGGGGTAGGGCCCTATCTGCTAATGCTGATATGTTTGTGACTGTGGCTTACAAAGGTCAAGAAAATGGCAGTTTTATATTAAATGTGAAAGGGTCTCTCTTGTGTACAGGAAGCCTGACTAATTCAGTGGTCTATTTTGAAGTAATAGATAATATCTTTTGAGGGCAAGAAGTTCTACAGTAAGCTCTTTTGTCTCATGCTCAAGTAGGTTATTTAACAAACCTTTTTGTCTTCCTTTAAAAAAATAAAGACTCTTGAACTTTCCCTCTCTGAGGGCAACATTAGAAACAACTACTTTCTCTTTTATTTAGTCAAGTTTTTCTTCATTAACAAATTAAGGAAACTAAAGAATAGGCACAAGTAGCACAGGGTACTGACAAGCATGAGCACACCTGGAGTTATTTGATTACTGCATGAAGATTCAGTGACCTAAAAGCTGTATCCATGCAAAGAGACAACACTTGTAGTTATAGCCTGTAAAAGTTGTGAAGGGAGAAGAACAAGGATGTATGGGATTCCCTACAGTGTCCTGGAGTAACAAATAAGGAACAGTAAGCTCTATGAAAGTTCTCAAGCCCTGAAAATTTGATTCTGTCCTGGAAGTAATGAAGTCAATTTAGCAAAAGGAAGACAAGCTGTTACAGTATGATGTGATATGGACCCATTCCTGATTCCAAATATGAATCTGCAAAGGTTATAGCAGGTTTTTAACTTTTTCTCCTTTAGAGTGAAATGCAGTTGCGTGAGAAAGAGGTGATGAGACAGCAGCATGAGATGATGTTGCATGAACACAGGGAACTGATTGATGCTCTGACTGCAGAAATACTTCTAGTGAGGGAAGAAAACACTACTATACAGGTACTAAGTCCCCATCCCCCTCAAAGTGACTTGTTAGAATGCTGAGTTGTATTGCAGATGTGTGCTGAGATGCATTATCATGTTTTGGAGACTTTAGCAATAAACAGGAAGAAAATTGGAAAACTGAGGAATCTGAAAATTATGATAGGGGGCATAGGGCTAGGAAGGAATGTAAGAAAGTCAACATTTTACCTTCCTGTATAGTGTTTAACTTTATAGTCTGAGAAGACCCTGATTCCATTCAACTGAGATTTACTTTATCAATCTGCAGGTTTAAGCATCTGCCTCCGTGCTTCTATACTGTTAACACTACTGGGGCAACAGAGTAGACTAGTTATAATACTACAGTTTTCTTTTTTTCACTTTGCAGTGGAGGTTGATTTGCTCAATGGCTACATTTGGGAATGAAGCAATAAAGCTGTGTTGGACAGGTAGTGGGGTGGTGAGTTAGGAAGAAGGAAAAACAAATAATTTCTTTGGGACAGGAGGGAAAATAAATGAGAAACATGGAGATACCAGTATTTAATACCTCCCCCAAATTCATGCAGTGATGTTAAGAGACCAAATTTCTTCTCAGAGCTGCTTGTGGTATATAATGTAATTCCTGTTGCTAGAACACAGATTTCTGTATCTCTCTTTTGTTTTTCCTACACCCTTTAGAAAAAGCTTCAGCAATACATGACGGTAACAGATGAACAGCTGATCTCTCTCACACAAGCATTTAAAGGCCTCCCTTTGGTAGAACCAAGAAGAGAACAAAGTCCAAACTATTTTGGAATTGCAAGCAAAAACCCAGTGAATGGCCAAGGTGTGTGCATACATGTGTGAAGGATGAAATGGGAGTTGTGGCTAGTTAACCCCTGTAGTGCAAAATTTGGTATTTAATAGATGCCTGCTTGAGTAAATACCTCTTGCATAAGCACGTCTCTCTTGGCGTCCTGCTGTCTGGATCAGGACTTCAAGATTAACCTTTTAGCCAAGTCCTGCACTTGAGCTTTAAGTGATACCTAATAGAATTTTTTTTTAATACATATTTTTTTAAGGGGATAGGGGAGTAGCATTCTCCCCATGAGGATGGATTACAAAGTCAGGTTCATTTTGAAGGTCCTAAAAAAGAAAACAACATCCAACTGAATCAGGATTCCACCTTTCTTTTGCTGAGGCAGCCTGTTAGATTGAGATTGGTTCTTCTATAAGACACTGGGGGTCGCTGCTGACCAGAAACAGCAGCTGCCAAGGGTTATTAACTGCCCAAGCAGAAGTCTGTTTCTTGAATATTTGTGACTTTACGTCAGAGGTGAATGACCCTTTGAGTGATATATAACATAGATGCAGACTAAGTTGAGCCAGTAGCATTGATAACCAAACTAGCAAAATATGATTCCTTGTACTTTTTACATTATTTCACCATGGAGTTTTCTCCCAACTGTCTTCCTCGATTGGTTGCTTAAATGCATCATTTTTGCTCTTGAGGTCGGAAACTCCTTGGGATTCACAAGATTCCTTGGAACTATTTGTATTACTCTATTGAATGTTGTTTTGTGGACATTTTTGTGGTATAAAACTTTCTTCCTGACTATTTATGTGGGTTTTTTCCAGAAGAAGTCATATATCAGATCCTGTTTTGTGATTTACCCAGGCTTTTTAAAAGCAAATGAAAAATCCTACCCCAAAATACAAAACCCAAACGATCAGAAAAGCACCTCTCAAAAAAAAACCAAAAACCAACCAAACAAAAAACAAATGACCCCCCCACCTCCCAAAAACACGAAACCTTGCTATACAACAATTATGCAAGACTAGAAGTACCAAATATTTTTTCCTTATTGGTCTCTTTTCTCAGGAAAAGTCATCTTCCTGAGGGGAAAGCTTCCTAAAGTTACAAAAAATGTCTTC